CTCTGTATATGCAGCTCCAAAAGTCATCAGCAGCTGTGTAAATCAGTGAAGAGCTCTCCAGTTAATGGTCTGATGCTCAAAAGCAATCTAAAACAATGTGGAGTACAGAAACAGATGAAGACTGAAGTAGAAGATAAAACCTCTTTGAGAGGTTTTTTGCAAACTAATAATTGGTTGGAGAAAAATAGTTTGTGTGCTCTTTGGAGGTAGAAAATTTTAGTCTTCAAAGGACTAAGTGTCTTATCCGACTAATAATCCAGTACCTAGTTAGAAAAGAAACTCAGGTTGCCTGGTCTTTAATTCTCAAATACCTCAGTAGGGTAATGTTTCAATGCATACTTCATAACAACTCCCTGTAAATTAAAATAACATTCTGCAACAGAGTCAAATTAGATGTACAAGTTCACAATGAGTTCTTTCGTACACCTTCAATATTATTAAGCACATGTAGATAATCAGTTTTAATATTTTCAAAAAAATCTGTTCATTTAGTTGTTGTACTACAAAAACATCACTAGGAAATACTTCAATACCTTAAATGCTTTTAAAATATGATAAGCACATCCTCATTCTTTTTGCAATAGAAAATAAAAGACTTCACAAGGAGAATGTCATGGTCTTGCTCCAAAACCATTTCAAAGTTAAGATAAGAAATCAGAAGAAAGTCATAGCAAAAGGTACTAGGATGACAGTTCCTTCTCTGTATTTAAATAAAAGCAGTCATCTGGACTCACTCATACGCACAGAATTTGTTCTTTCTCATCAAGCAAGATGCTTTAAAATCTTTGAAGAAAACAGAATTTGTTTTAGTTCTGTTGTTCACCAAGAGCCACTTTCCTGGACTAGGATCAATGCTCACTACTTTGCCTCTCCGGGCTTGCCCAGGAGAAGGATCCAATATTTGCTTAACAGATAACTCTACCACAATAAAACTTACGAACATGACAGCTCAGAAATTTGATAGTTGAAATTCTCCATCCTCCAGAAGCGTGCAGCTTACATTCAAACCAACTTGAAGAATTAGTCCCAGATACCTTTGGAAGAAAACCTCTTGAGCTATAAAGAATGGCACTGAATCATCACTGAAGCATTTTAAAAATTACCAATCACTTTTCAGAGGTACAACACTCATACAAGAGATTCTCTTCGATACCACAGCAAAAGTAAAAAATGAAGATGCCTGACATCCTATGTGAGACTGCCAAAAGCAATAGTATTTTTTCCATCATTCCATTCCACGACATCCAGTAAGTGACCACAGTTGGAGTCAGCAAGATTCAGCCACCAGCTCCCGAGTAACTTCCATTCATCAAGAGAGCTTAAAATAATTCCCTCCAAGCCAGTATGGGACACATCACTCAACATCCTCCAAAGGCACGCTGAGCTCAGCTATCAAACTTGCCAGTTTTCTTGATTAAATACTGGTATGCATTCCAACCACATGCACAGACAACAAAGCAGTGGTTGATCCTGACTGGTGCTAATGGAAGCTGGCAACAAAAGGAGTGTGGCAGAAAAACTGATATTACTCTCTACGTCAAACTACTCTGGGTGGCACTGATAAAGCTTAAACTGCTTTCTTAATATAGAAGTACTATAGAGCAAGTGTGAGGGACTGGAACATGTAAGTTTCTGGTGGTGAAGACTGACAGATGGGGAAAAGCTAGAACTCATAGCTCTGAGACAATTCTGTATGATTGAAGTTCCACAATCAGAAGGAAAATTCTTACAACATGTAGATACGTAGCTTAAGTGTCAACATCATTCGAACAAGGCTGAGGTGATACACATCAAGAGCTATGAATGACAACAGTAAGAAATCTAAAAGTAACTTAAGCTTTTTTTCCCGCAACAGGCAGCAAAATAAAGACTTTGAAATATGTCTCAGACTAACCATGCCATCACTGCGGACTCAAAAGCATCACACATTACCTATGTCAGAAAAAATAAGTAAGGCGCTCATATGCTCATAACCAACTCTCACTCTCCCTTTCCCCCCCCCCCCCCCCCCAACAAAAAACAGTAGCCGTGTTTAGATCTCATGAGAATAAAATACCAAAAGCCTTACAAAGGAGGAGGAAAGGGCATGGACATCTGCTTCTTGGTTACACTAAGCAAACTGGTTCATCTTTATCACTGCATCTCCCAACAGACACAGCTTTTCTCTATCGTACTGCAATTCAAACTGAAACAGTGTCAGATCTCAAACAGATGTTTGTGGAAGCTGTCACAGAAGAAAACTAGAATGTATAACCTACAGGATGCATTTTCCTGCATTTTAGGGAAAATGCAGAACAAATACAAGGGGAAATAATCTTCATACATAAATGATGTGTGAGTGATCCTCTGGATCTCATTACAGTGTCTTAAATAGATTTTTAAGTCTAGACAATCCTTTTTGCTTTTCTTCATATTATCCCCTTCAAATCTTTATTTACATTCTCTTTTAACGTGCAATCTTCTCCAGAGCATTCATTCTCTATAGGGCATGAATACCTCACTCAGAATGTGCAGATTTTAACAAAAATATAACACACACGATAACATTAGGGTACATTAAAATCAAAACTATATACATTCATAAAAACGCATGAGGAAAAAAAATAAAACTTACACCTTGGCTAAGAGTACTTGTCTGTTTTGTAAGTGTGATGCTATGGGTATAACACATTACTCACAGCTGTAGCACAAAGCAGGATAATGATCATTTACGGACTGAAACTGTATATCATTGTATTTATACCACTGAGTCTTTACAAGATAACTTGGCAACTCTTGCTTGAAATATGAATATCTGTAAAATATGACATATGTTTGTATTGGTCAGGACTATTTCCATGCAATACAAATGCTCAGACACCAGCAGTAATGAACAGAACGACCTGTAATCAACAGAAATTGCTCGCTCTGCTCTTGGGATGCTACACAAATTAGTTGACAATGACTTGCCAAAGTCTTACTAAATGCTTGAAAGGTTGGCCTAGATGGAAAAAATGGAATTACACTTAGTGCATTTTTGGATACCAAAACCAAATAGCACATAACCTTTTCACGTCCACAACAAAACAAGTGCTTTTATTACTGATGTGTACAAGATGTGCCAACTCTTAAGACTATTTTATGCAAAATATAAAATATCTCCCTAATTTTTCATACAAAACATTATGCAGAAATCAAGGTCTTTTCAAAATGACCCCATATTATTCACTTAAGATGTAAAAATGTGAAAAATCTCACATGGAATTTTCTCTTCATATTGAAGATGTGTTGTGGTTATAAAGGAGTTTGGTATTAATAAATATCAGCTTCCACCAACACAGATGAACTCCTCAAGCTTCCTGTAATTAAGAAATGTTAGGATTGACAATCTTTTTATTTTTTTCTTCTCCCCTACAGACAAGAACTCTTCTCCACCGCCGCTGCCCCATCCCTCTCACTGTGCTGCGCTCGGTGTGTTCTCCAAACTTCAGCACACCTGCCCAGCCGCACATACTAATGCAGAGGAAGGATGGATTATCAAACCAAGGCTGATGCAAAGGGCAGATCTGAATCATGGCGTGCAAGAGCTGTTGCTCCCCCTCCATTCTGTGCAGAGGGAGCCCCAAGAGATTTGTTTCCCTGGGTTCATGTAGCTCCTGTACTATCAGCTGCTCACGTGGCTCATGACAGCAGGCTGATGCAAGAGCTCAACCACAGCTATAACCAGGCCAAGAAATACTTAGCAGGTCCTTTTGCTGCTCTCTGTGGGTACATCTTAATTAGCCATCTATTTGTAGTGCAGCTGCTAAATTTACTTTATTGTCACCATCTATACTCAACAACACTGCAAGAAATTCTTCTGCTGGCCTTGAATCCTTTAAATCAAGTTGCGTTAAATCGACAAGGTGATGGATTCTTACCCTCCGAGTACATCATTTATCGTTAAATAGAAGACACACATTGCACAATTTATCTCCTTTCACAAAGAGTTCAGGTTTTAACATGTGAAGGTTAATATGGTATGATGGCTTGAATATTAGGTTACCATTAAGTGGGAATGGTCAGAATACACAGGTGACATTTTTCCCATCTCTGTATCCAAGCAGATCTAAACAAACAGAACTTTGAGATGCATCGACAGGAAACCATTCCAAGAAAACTGAAGTTGCAGCAGCCTTTTCAGAACACAGAGAGCTTAAAGTGAAAGCCTGCATGTTCACACTATAATATATTTTAGGGAAGCAGTGCTGGACAGATTAAAACTAATTCTTTGTACCATTCTTCTAGAGCCAAACAACTGCACCGAGTCAACACTAAGCTCAGCATAAGGACAAATCGAGTACCAGCACCATACACAGCGCACTGTACTTCAAACATGGCAGTCACCATTGAATAATGCACACTGAAAATACTGGGTGTTGCCAATCATCTATGAAGTCAAAAAAAATGTACTTTAACACTTCAGAAAAATGAGACAAAATACTTAATGTGTAAAACAATTTTAAATTTGAAGTATTTAAAGTGATGATTTTACCCTCTTGCTTTCTTTAAACACTTCACAAAAAGATTATTGAAAAATGAATTTCAAGCAACTCCTTGTTACTTCTGAACTATGCTGTTCTAGAAAGTGGTGGAGGTTTCTCGTTGTCGTCGGTTTTCCTCTGAAGAGGTTGGGAAGAAGCGAGCTGCCCCCTCCCCTGCACTGGCAAAGGCAGAAAACACCTCTGTCATCTACCTAGGAGGAATCAGGGGCACTGCCTCCTCTGAAAGGGAAACAGGAATATTTTTCTCTAAGTCTGTGCTTTCACTAATTACACCCTAACCTGCATTCCTCTGGTGGTGAGTACAAAAACGTTACGAGTGTCAGTATTTCCCTTAGAAACGACTGCCTGTCAAACAAAGCATAAAAAGACAACAGGCAGAAACACAGTTTCAGCTCGAATGCCTTAATGCCACTACTTGTCTCGCAGCACTCCATCAGCACCCCCTGAAGTACAGTTAGCCGCACTCCTCCCCACGCAGCACACTTTCTCTGCTGTTGCAAGATGAAAATGTGCCCGGCCTGACAATGAAGCAGCGGAGCCATCGCACATTGTTATGCAACTCGCTGTCTGCAAGGGTGGTTCGTAGCTCCTTCTTTATTCAGCAAGTGCCAAGTGCATGTTTAATCAATGTCACAGCTCGCCACAGTGTGCGACTGGAGCCGCCGTCATTCCTCCCCTCAGATCTGTCTGCTTAAGTCCTGCAGTGCTCCGAAGAATACCTTGGAATTATTTCCAGAGCCTCTGAGCGCAGGTGTGTGGCAGCGCTGACACGGCCGCAAGCAGCACAGACTTCCTTGCATCCCTCCTCAGTCTGGACTAAAATTACGGAGCGTGGCTGCACGTAGTTTGCTGCATTTGGAATTACGGCACGTCAACGTAAGAAAGCCTCTTCAGGCGGCTGCCACAGAGCGTAAATCACAGGCTGGTGGGGGGGGGGGGGGGGGGGCCCGGAAATCTTAATAAATAACTAAATACCATTGAATAAAACAGGAGCTGCTCATTTTTTTTTTTTCCAAGGCAAAACCAAACGGCATACATTTTGTTGCTCTACATCATCCAAGGAAAAAAAAAATCCTCATTTTAATGAGAATTAGTCAACAGCAAGGATCATTACCAGAAGGGTTTTTCGACTACCCTCAATGCTGGCGGATCACCGAGGGAAGCTTCTGTAATGTTATTCCCCTCACCGTTAAACTTCTTCATCAAGGAACTGTCCGTGCTCGTGCTGAGTCTATCTGAGCGAGGAGAGCAGCCCCTTCATGAAGATAAAAGCCTGGCTTACCACCGAATCGACGAGTAAGAAGCATGTCTGATGACATTTTATTCCTGATGCAATGTAGGGTAAGAAACATCATCTTATTTTACCTTTCTGGGAGATGTGCTCTGAGCTGATGGCTTTAATTAGACTCAGCAAAATACATTCATCATCAATGATTAAAGATGCTTGCCAAGAGAGAAAAATGCTGTAGCACTATAAAATGTGACTGCAAATCTTCAATAAATGTAGGTTATCTGAACTAGTAAAAAGCCCAATCAAATTTCAGTTTAAGACATGAAATTTCTGATCAATACGGCTAAAACAGCATAGCAGATTATGTACGATATAAACATCCCAGCCACCAGAGAACATAATCTTATAGGGAATGTGTTTCTAGAAGATATTAGGCTGTAAATTAAGAGTGCAAGAACAGCTAAGTAATAGAGACAGGCTGTCAACCTCACTTCTGCAACAAAAATAGGTAATAAATCATACATATGTCTGTAAGTCTCTATCTCAAGTCTTTAAACTGCACAGAACGTTGCTGCTATGAAAGCACTGCTGTCCTTTGGCATACTGCAGCAATAAGCATCCAGAATAGTAATAACCTTTATATTTGGAGAGACAGACATCTTCTGTTCAATGTTTACTGTTGCATGTATGTCCAAAAGCTGATGTATTAAACAAGTAAAAGGATGAGATCTCACCTGCAATCGCCTACTTGCGGCTCACTGCTCAAAAAAAAGACTGCTATACTGTGTTAAGGAGGCACATTATCCATGCTGGGCAACAGCAGACATGAACATTTTCAACTGTTTCTGTACCGTGACAGTTAAATTATTTAACAGCCGCTGAAAATTCACAGAATCTCTCCGGGCATTTCAGAGCATTTGACAATGCCTCCATACCTGCGTTCGTCGATTTGATGTTACATGAGGAAACAAATTAGCTGGCTTTAGACACATTTTACATTTCTTTTATAATAAGGCACATTAATTAAGTTTGAAGCATCAAGCTGTTCTTCACTCCTTCTATCCAATCTGCATCTATTTCTACCATCTACATGTTCATACAAAAAGAAAAGATGAATACAACTCAATACATGTAGAAATGAGAAAAAAAATTGTAAAGCACAGAACTACATTTAAAAAGATGAGAGCTTGCACATTTGTCAGACCAGATTTACCATTTGCTTTCTTTCCTCTAGCTAGCTGCCAGAATACTGGTGAAGAAATTTGCAGGAAAAATGGGGACCTCTGCCATCACAACACTGGAGGATGTAAAAAGGCGAGAGGAGAAGGAGGAGAAAGAAGAATCTATTCTAGCACTGCTTGGAATTATTGGAACTGTGCTCAATTTATTCGTTATTGTTTTTGTGTACATCTACACTACACTTTGATGGCATTTTTGAACACCAATTGCATAGCACACAGTGCAAAGACCAGCGATGGTAAGGATGATTTCTAAATTTAAAGCAAGAAAACTCACAGTCTGAAAAGATTATCAGAAACATTCCAGAGCGAAGTGTCTGGCTAAGGGCACTGCAACAACTGCTGAATGCATCTGTGAGCCCAGGTAGGGTGCTACATTATGTAAATCAAGACAGACAATATTCAGTTTCTCATGGATGAGAGATTAAACCCAAATAATGTAACCTGAGGTGGCACTGTTTTATTGACAACAAATGTGCAAGGCACAAAAAATATAAACAGAAAAACAGTGAAAACAACCAGAACACAGAAAGAGATTACTAAATACATGAAGATATATATAAGCAAGTCCCATGATGCTTATTGTAGTTTTGTGCAGTCTGTCTCTTCATAGCTGAGACCAGAAAACAGACAAAAGGGTTTTATTTCTAGATCACCATAATTTAGGCTTAAAATCTAAACAGATGTGCAATAAGTGTGGAAAAAGGAACAGTGTTATACCAAAAATTGTAATATTCTAAGTAAAATTTTAACTATTGACTGACTATATTCTGCAGCATTTTTGTTAGTATTGTGGAAAGCTGAAAAAGCTTAGGTTCTATTGCCTTTACTGAATCTGTATTTGAAATCATGCTATACTGACAATGTGCTTTTCTAATTAAAACTCCTTTTAAGTGGTGTGAAAAAATAAATGAGTTTTAGTACTTCTTTTAAGAAATATTAAAAATTACAATACTTTGACACATATTCTCCAAAGGAAAAATAAATACCAGAAACTACATTTTCCATATTACCATCTTCAGGATGTGTTTAGTGCAAGTAAAATACAACTTCATCGTTTTACCTGATGCTTATTTTCAGGTAAGATAAAAAAGAATGCATGGTGTTGTATGGAAAATAGCTTCAATATCATTTCCCAGAAGAATATACTCTCTCTGGACCAAGTCCTTCCCTTTTTGAATGGCTTAGGCCCAGAACTGCAACTCCCGTGAGTACTTCATGGAACGCACCATTACTTTACTGAAATCCATTAAACTGTTTTCATGTATGCTTTTTTTAATTTTATTTTTATGTATGTTTTTGAATTTAATCCAAATCTGCAGACAATCTAAGGTTATCACAGTTTCTTTTATACATGAATATACTCTATGTATTTCTTCTAAAAGAAAAGCTACTATTGAGAGCTGAGGATTAAAAACCATAATTGAGAAAACTCATGTACAAATAGAAAGAAGGGGTGTGAAACTGATTTTAAAAAGTACCATTCTGAGTATTACATGTGCCACATGAAGAACAGGACAGCTGTGTTTCTGAAAATCAGCATGGCAAAACTACACACATGGCAAAATTACACACAGCAAATAAGCAGAACCTCATGTAGAACAGCTCATTACTGTACAGAACCTCCTAACTGCTTAACCAAGGGAGCCTTCAAAAGTCATGTCTTAACAATACGTACATAAAACAAGGTCAGGGATCTACGATAGAAAGAATTTGGCACTGATATTTCAATCAGTTACAGAAATGACACTGTAAGTCAGTGATGTACAGAAGAAAGAGGTGGAAGATGGCATATTCTGATTTTGCTATTCTGAGTCAATACCGGCTAATCTAGAAGAAATGATAAATAGAGCTGAGGCTGCGCTGGAAGAAAACATGCAGACAAGAAAACTTACCCACTATCTGTATTCTATAGCAATTCTCTGGTATTGTATACTGATTTTCAGAGCATTCTGTAAGGCTCAGCTGTATTGAAAAGAAATCATGTAGCTTATTCATTTCTACTTAGGACTACAGGATGTAGTCAGTACTTTCTTTCTTTCTTTCAATGTATTACTTATATTAGTATATTTATGGGCATCATCACATTAATCTCATAAAACATAGTTATGTGATGGGGCTTAAATTAACAGGTTACATGAACCTGGAAACTAACAGAAAGGAAAATTCAGATAGAAACTGTTTATTTCGATCCTGAAGTTATTTTAAGCTTGTCAATTCTGTGAAATCAATAAACACTTTCATTTCATGTCATTTCAGTGCATAACTATCTTCTCCAAACCGTGACTTGACCAGTACACTAACGTTGGGGTGTGATACCACACTTCTCACTTTGTAAGGCACTTCAACAGCACATTAGGTAAAGAGCACGCCCAAAGTTAGAACCATCCATGGAGGAGGTCCAGCATCATTCCTTTACCAGTGAACGAGTTCATTAACATTAATGAAAACTAGAGGCATTTTTAAGCTTGGATAATTGTATACTGTCTACCTAAACTGCCATTGAACTTTCTGGTTTTTCATACCATACAGGCTTTGACTTTCTGAAAGAAGTAACTGGGTAATTTTATCAGAAAGATTGCCCCAGCATATGAGTTGTATTTCGTTCCAAAAAAGAAGTCTGATATCCTCTCTTAAATGACAATATTTTCATCTCCGTGCTCATGCAGACTTAGATCTAACTTTACTTAACTAGCTCCAATCCAATAGAGCCAGCGTTTACACCTTTAATCAAATATATGCATAAGAATTTCAAACAAAGAATTTAACAGCAACACCTCTTACTATTTATAGTTAAAAATCTATGGAAAAGCAGAGTTTCATGACGACTCAATGTTGACACTGCAGTAGTACCTTCAGCAGTGGAGGAATAAAGATGTTAGCACACAGTTTAATGAACTCATTGTACCAACTTCTGAGACCCATAAGGGAACACAAGATTCCAGAAGTATTCAGCCTTCTCAGTCCAGTAGAAATGGACTGCTCTTAAAACAGCAAAGCAACACCACAGAGTGCCTAGAGGAGACGTATGATCAATAGAAAATAAACGCTTCAGTAAAAAGCTGGTATAGTTCAAGCTCTGAGATGAGGAAGGCAGGCCTGAAATAGATAAAGCCTCAAAGATCTATCAAGAGGCAGAAAAACAAGCTCAGTATGATAACCTTCAGCAGATTTGTCCACAGTATGTACTGCATACAAAAATTTCCAGAAGAGGTACTTGGCAGCAGGCTGGAACAATCCAACTGCTAATGAATCCACATATCCAGGATGTCCCCATACTTGATAAATAACAAAATACGCATTTAAAGCAAAAATTGGATTGTTACGAAGTACAACATCCTGCACACACAATGCCTTTAGTAAAGCCCTCCCACAGAAACACATCATTTGTTTTCTGCAGTCAAATCCAAGGAAGACTGGATCTAACACCACAAGCTACGCCGACCACATAACATGGATTCTCTCTTCACCAAAGGAGGGGGGTGACTAAAAGAGCCAAGAACCAAGTAAGCATGCAAAGAAGTGGCTGCAAGATGTCAGCTCAAATCACATCACCATCTGCTTCCTGTATGCCTGGGAATTCAAGCAAAGAATTCAGGTACAATTCTGTGACTTGCCATGAAGTTTGTCTTCCAGGAAAGAGGTGGAAACAAATCTCTCTCCCGGATTTAAACAAGGTTATGACATCTCAGGACTTCTTAGGTATTAGTTTAGGAACCAGCTAGTACAGCTGCATTTTTAAGGAAGAACCACCTACCTACTATTGTAGAGCTTTCTTCTCTTCTTCTTATTAAATATTGGCTTTTGTTAGTTTTCATGAGCCTAGGTCTCCCAATCAAGTAACTTATTTTATCAGCAAAATCTGACCTTCTAGATAGCCACGTACTCCTGTTAGTACCTGATGACTGTGTTTGTTGGGAACTTCTTGTTGGAAGCAAATTTTATTGTGGTACACTGCTGAAGGAGAAAAATTTTCCATGTATTTGAGAGATTCTTAAAAATAAATTAGAATTTCAAATTAAACATGCTGTATGAAAGACAACAGAAAAGAGGTTTTCCATGACAGCTTTTGGCACAAAATACACATAAGTGCCCAGTAATGAATACATGTTAGATATTCCATGGCACAGAGGTTAAGAATTATATCAGTTTAACAAACATAAACATGAATTCTTTAGGAATAAACATAAATGTAATAGGAAAATCTCACCGTGCTACAAACTTATTTTTGTTTATAAAATGAAATATAACAAAGTCATAGTAATGCCATAACAAGATATGACACAAAGATGGGAAAAATATTCAAGAAACAGGGAGAATTACAGTAGATATTGTTCCTTCTGCCTAGTGCTGAGATCTCTTGTATAATATGCAGAAGTCCTTCATAGACAGATAAACCTTCCTTCTTGACACGAAAAAAAACAATTGCAGAAATTAATGGAAGTAGTCAGTTTGCAGTTTTCAAGGGCTTTACAATCACCTTACTCTGAAGCAGATGAAGCTGCAGAATGTGACAGAGTGATTTGGTTTGTAAAGATCTGCTTCAAGGTGAGGTTTCGAAACCATGTGAGCACTATTCAGCTGATTAATGTTACTTTAATCTAGAACAACCCAGATAAAAATCCAGACTGCATACGTTTCAGGGAAATTGAGTGGTAATGGCAAAACATATTCAAAGCAACAAAAACCCTCGATCCATTTCTAAGCACAATAAAGGTAAATTTTATATTCTGGTACTGAGCCTGTTCAAGAATTTTGCAGGATGTAGCATACCTGCACCTACCGAAACATGTCTAAATAATACAGAAAATTCTCACTAATACCAAAATGCCCATCATATTGTTTGGCTATGGTGACATCAGCCTAATGTGCAATAGTGGGACAAAGAAAAGCCAGCATTTCACTCATATATACTTCTTTATAGAAAATATTCTCCACAAAATTTTACATGTATGGCAGAGATAATAAGTGAAGATCATTTATTTAAATGATTCACAGTGAAATCTGTAATCTGGCAAGAGAATAAAGGTTACTCTTATGCTGGAGGTATTAACTAGTTCCAATATTACCCATTCAGGTTTCAGAAAGTTACAGAGATACTGAAATTTGCTATTTTCTGTCAGCATTTTGCTCAGAACAGCTTGTTACTGATGAGGTGCCAGAACCTGGGAACACTCTATTAGCATTCTGTATGCAGTGTTCTAATTTCTCAGTCCAGTATGTTACAGGAAAAATACAATCAGTTGCTTCTTTTACATGAAAGTACATTTGATAGCAGAAGTTACACCCATTTGAAAACTGGAAGACTGTGCTCATGAGCTTTACCAATAGCACTGTTCCTTTTCCTACCTCTACCGGGTAAGCATTCAGTCCTACTGGAATAAAGATAAGAACTCAGCCTAGAGAACTTTGAAATTAGAAGGTCTAAGATGAAAGAGTCAAGTCTGTTCTACTACACTGCTCTGGTCTTCAAGGTTTAATTAAAGAAAATAAACCATCAAAGTTACCAACCATAAACACATTGCTTAAGGTAATTTTTCCATCTTATGAGCATTGTACCAGAGCTCAACATTGCTCCAAAGCATCCAAACTTCCACCTCTCTTGTAGCAGCCAGGTTCAGTGGTGTTTCCTGACACTCTGCTGGTGATACTAAGAACCCCAGCACCACCTGCAACTCATACACATTGATGTGAGCATTGTCTGCTTTTGCACTAAACAGTAATTACTGCATTGGAGTTATGCCTGGCTATCATTAAGACAAACTGTTTTCAGGGACTGCTTTTAAATTAAATGCGTCTGACTCAAATATTCATGATGCAAAGACACTCTTTCCAGAATTCAAGCCTACTCACACATCATCCTCTCACACTGGTGTCTTATTATGTTTCCAAAGACAAGCTTGACTGATATAAGCCTGCACAGCTTTTTTTCTTATTAATGAAAAACATTGTTAATTACAGTTTCAGGTATACATTTCTGAACAAATACAGCAGGAAGCACTTAAGACTGTATTGCTCAGATCAATGTATTCAGCATCACAATCTTTGAGTTCTAAATTCCAATGAAAGTAACAATCTTTGTGAATTTGGAATTAGGAGAGTAGGTAACAGCTTTTCTCTAAAAAGAAAGGTTTGGTTGTGCTTTAATAGAGTTTATCTGTTGCTTTATGAGCCACTCACACATTTATGAATAGCATCTGTTTTGTTCCCACTTGACTAATTGCTAATTCAGAACTGTAACATTTGAGTATCCTCTGACAATCATGATAGCAGTAGTCCAGCAAAGGAAAAGATACCTAAAATTCATATTTTCCACTGAGGCTGCTCTTTTCTTTGTACTTAGGGAAAACAAATTGTCCCTGAAAGTCAAACTTGTCTAAACTTCTCTGTACTAGCCACATATCTCATCTCTTCTATCACTATCTGACTGTTCTTCTCCAGTTAAAGGTGACTTACACAGACAGATATGTTTTCCAATAGAAAACAGCAAAAAGCAATTTCAACAGCTGCGAATCATTTATAACTCTGAACCAACAGCTTCATCCTCTAGAGAAAAGGGCATTTTTGCCAGGTTTTTCAGTGACTTTTCCCTTCTACCTCAACAACAGAAGAATTTATGAAGGTCTGTTAGAGAGACTGCTTTTCTTCATTGTTTTACTTCATCTTTTTAAAAATCCCTTTACATTAGATTTTCATTTGCAGCAATGAGCCTACCATATAAGCCGGTTCATCTTCCTGACTGCAATATGTGCAAAACAGGATCAACAAATTCATTACAAAATTGAGAGAGGTATCTACAGCCTGGCAAGGGACAGCTTTGTATTTTTATTTTTTATTGTAAGGCCCCTGTAGGCTTGTTGAACTACTTTTCTTCCATCATATAAGATTATGTAATGCCTAGACTGAAAGAGCCACGTTTTTGTTTTAGTTCTGGGTAGTTTTGTAGACATTTAAGACACAGATGATTTCTCTTTAAACTCTGGAGACAAAATGTATCACACAATTCACCAAGCAGCTATGACACTGAAGAAATTCACATCATACATAATACAACTGGCATCCAAAAGAGCTACAGCGATGTGATTACATATTTATCT